CGTTGAATGAGTGTAATAATAAATAAGTAAAGAACGAGTTAAAAACCTCTCACAGACAGATGAACAGACAAATAATGAAGGATCAAGTGTAATATTTAGAATTATTCTAATATTCGTAAACAGGATAAACGTACTTCATTATAGTAAGGGCAGTTAGTGGATTCCTTAACACTGGTATATTTTCTTTGATCGCCTACTTGAACACAAACAACTGGGTCCATATTCAATCCCGCCAGGTGGCGTGCTTCAATAATAGTAATACACACCTATGCACAAAACCAAAAGAAACACTTATCAAAACCTTTAAATAAACTAAATATCTGATATGTATCGATATATTACGTCTAAAACAGCATTTTTAATAGATATGTCACGAGATAACTATAAAGAAAAAGTATTATTTTAGCGTGGTGGGTTGAAAAGCGCATTATTTATATTCTCTGTGAAACTTTATTAAGAGCAAACACTGTTTGTTCTGTAGTATTAAACCAACATAATTCGTTTGAATATTTAAAATATATGAGTTCTCAATATAAACTAATAACATGACTGCACATTAGTTCCACATTAAAATTCCAATTTTCAACGCGATCTTTTTCCCCAGTGGATTTACATACAATTTCAAGGAGGAAACGCAAATGTTTCATATCACATAGTATTTTTTGACATTTTTTTAACACTTTGAGTTATATTTATGGGATATTTTAGTCCTTTGTAATTCACCATATAGTAATCTAAGTTGATTTAGGTGTGTTCGATATTATATAGCGGGCCAACTTCGAGTTTTAACACTTATCAAATTATGAACGATGTTAGAAGTTTTCATGTAATATTATTTAAATAATCTCTACCGATTTCCTCTGTTCAGTTGGTATTTCATTTGGCATAGGAAAGCAAAACGTATGTCATTTTGAAATGGTCTAAATTTAACAGTAATACGTTTATTTGTTCCTTACTTTACAGCATTTTCACATTTAAACGTACCTCTTACTGATTGGCTAAACTTTAATATAATTTCTAACGAGGTATATTGAAATTAAATTCAAAATCATTCAAATTTGGAGAATATTAATACATATATATATAGAATTTTAATTTTTTACCCTTATGGCATTAATTAAAAATACTTATATAGATTAAATTTTACATTAATAATTTATTAAAAAATATCTTGAAGCTTTGAGTTTATCCCTGAGCTCATTTTAGGTTCTATTTTTATATAATTGGGAACATGATAGTAGAGAACAAATTAACATTATATGGTTCAACTGAGATCAAAATATAATGAACAAGTGAAAGGTATGTTGCAATGATCTTTTAGTTGCTGGTTTTTGTAACATTTTTATACCAGTCGAATTCTTTACTGTTTTCATATAAAATGCCTGTAAATACCTGAAAATCTTGTGCCTTTAAGGTAATCGGTTGTAGCTCATGAATCGGCTTAGACCTAAAGTAAAGAAACATTCTATTAAAAGTAATCGGCTGCACCTTTTGTGTTGGCTTATGCCTAAAGAGTGAAAACAAAATCATTAAATTAATCGGCTGTGGCTTATGTGTTGACTTAGGCCTGAAGAAAAGAAACAGTCTGTTAAAGTAATTGGCTGCACCTTTTGTGTTGGATTATGCCTAAAAGAGAGAAAATAAAATCATTAAATTAATCGGCTGTGGCTTATGTGTTGACTTAGGCCTGAAGAAAAGAAACAGTCTGTTAAAGTAATTGGCTGCACCTTTTGTGTTGGCTTACGCCTAAAGAGTGAAAACAAAGTCATTAAATTAATCGGTTGTGGCTTATGTGTTGACTTAGGCCTAAAGAAAAAAAAAATCAGTCTTTAGCCTTTATATTACAGTCTTCTTTCTTACCGTTCGCCGGTAAAATTTACGTTACATTGTATTGACTAATTTGTTGTTTTTGCCAAAAACATCATTTAATTGGCGAAATTTCCTTTTGTATAACTTATATGTTATTAGGGACATTCCACAAACAATTTGATGAATAAATTAATTACAAAAATATATTTAAAAAGCCGATTGCGTCCATATAAACCCCCTAGTCATTTTAGGGTTAAAGTAGCTGTCTAATTAGCTAACTAATTAGCCGGGATTGGCCTAAAGAAGAGAAACAGCCTAAGACGTAACACGAAAATAATTTTTGTTTCAAAGACTACCTGATCACAGCCGTCCCTAACGTGGAATTGGTTGACTAGAAGGAAGACAGTTAGACAATAGTACTCACCGCCATCTTTTGGGTTACTCTTGTTTCACCTTCACTTTTATGTGCACTCACAACCCCAAAGTACGAAGCACGTTTTTAAGGCAACAGGCTGCGAACCCTAAACCTTCGGGTTCACATCTGACCACATTAACCACTAGGCCTAAAAATCTCCAAAAGTAAGAAATAAATATATATATTTATATCATGTGAGCGTTAATAAATCATGCGCTGAAACATCAAAATTACATCAATACTGTTCCTATGGTTATATAGAGTATTTGAACAAAACTTGCTAAATTTATGTAAAATTATTTTCCTTCAAAGTTAGATATCATGACGTAGTACAATACATTTTACTTCAGATAATTATTAATTTCAATGCTCAAATGACTCGAATAAAAGAAGACGTCCTGATTTTAAATTCATCCCGCAGGACATCAATCACGAAGGTGACCAGTCTCTTTGGTAGATCATTGAAAACAAGGCTAAAAGGAGTCATTTATAGAAGACACTGGAAGATAAATAAATCTGTAAAGCTAACTATTGTCTATAATATTGGTTTTAAAGAATTCGTTGTAAAATTCGGGATAAATTGAATACATTATTACAACGATTAAATATGTTTTTGAACTTCTGTTAGCATGATCAACTTTGTTTGTTTGCTAAATTTTGTGCAAAGCTACTCGAGAGCTATCTGCGCTAACCGTCTATAATGTTGGAAGTGATAAACCAGAAGGAAGCAGTTAATCAACTCCAACAACAGTCAACTCTTATGCTACTCTTTTACCAACAGATGGTGGGACTGACTGTTACGTTATAACGCTCACACGGCTGAAAGAGCGAGCATGTTCGGTGACGGGACTTGAACCGGCAACCCGCAGATCGTGAGTGGAGCGCCTTAACCATATTCGATGACGAGGAACCCACTTTGCTGATGACAAAACATTGTCGAAAAGATGTACATTTACTGTTTTGTTAAACTTATATTAAAGGTTTTCTTCATTATCCATTCGAATCCTCTCCAAGCATTGTCAGTCTTAACCATATGATAGCACAAAACCGTATTCGGACTACAAGAAACAGTTAGGTTATACGAATAGTTGAATAAAACATGGAAATAATTATTTTCAATATTAAAAATCGAATCGTTTAGCAAAAATAAAGTTTGAGATAAATCGATAAAAAGTTTGTGCGAAATTTTCTTCAAGAAACTTTTTCAACTTTCCTACCAAGCCTAAATATGATATAAGGAAAAACTGAATAAAATAAATAGTGTAACAAAGATTGTTATTTTGTTACTGTTAGTAACTAGAAGCCAATAAAAACGGTAAACCTCAATAAAATTAGTCCATATGTTCCTGAAATATACAGAATTTCCAAATGAAAGCTTCGTCGCTGAAGCATATATCTGCATTTTACTGTTTCTTCTTTTAATCACAAAAAAAACTATTACGTATAAAAAAGATGCCGAATCTCTTAAGATCAATGACAAGTTATATTAGAGAAAAGTTTAATAACTTGACCAACTACCCACCTTTTTATGTCCTCGGGAGTGGTGATGGAGTATGGTGTCGTGTCCACCATTAAAATATACTGTATAATCAATCACCCTTGAATACCGCTGGATTGGTGATGGAGTATAGTGTCGTGTACACCATTAAAATATACTGTACAATTAATTACTCACACCTTGAATACCGCTGGATTGGTGATGGAGTATAGTGTCGTGTACACCATTAAAATATACTGTACAATTAATTACTCACCCCTTGAATACCGCTGGATTGGTGATGGAGTATAGTGTCGTGTCCACCATTAAAATATACTGTACAATTAATTACTCACACCTTGAATACCGCTGGATTGGTGATGGAGTATAGTGTCGTGTACACCATTAAAATATACTGT